GACAGTCAATGACAGGTTTAAAGCTTCTCCTCCCCAGATGCCTAAGACAGGAAAACTCGCATACAACAAATGCCACTTTTCAAAGACAGGAACATTTGGGTAATAGGAAGAAGGCTTTGTCCAAGCCAGGCGAAACCCATCTGTTCTGTTGCAGAAGCACAGGGGTTATTAAAATTTAATAAGAGAGTGGATTATAGGCCCATATTTCTATATAGTGTGGCAACCAGGCTCTGAAGTCATAGACCCTGCCAGAGGTGGTCACTTAGACCCGAAGACAGGCTGTCACTTCTCTAACAATAGCCAGAATGTACTGCTCCTTTCGCCTTTGTTAAAAATGTAGATCGCCTGGGGATAGGTGTTTGCCAAAACTGATGACTAAGTTGGAGGTGTTTCCCTAGACCCATGTCCTCTGGAAAGAGAATATTAATGAGGTATCCACCTTGGGTTACTTGAGGGGTAAGAGATGTTTGATGTAATAAACGTGGGTAGATCTTCAGGATGGAGAGAACCTTGAGATGTTCTTCCGTGTTGATGGTGTAAGCTGTGTCTGGTTATTTCTCCCCCTGTCCATACTGGTCCAGAGTTAGGGAAAATAGTTTTCTCTGTTGGGGCCCATGGGCTCTGACAGAAACCAACAAGTGTCCTCCATCCAACAAATTGGTCCCAACTTGGTCAACTAAAATCCACATAAAACCAGAGAAAGCTTGGAACAGAATCCTAGACACAAAAGAACATAGTTAAGCATGGCTTCTTGGTAGCCAGCATTTTGCTGGTGGCATTGTGCAGGTCCTTTAATAGAGGTTTTACTGACTCAGCAGTAGCAGAAAAGAAACGTGGCAGTTTTTAAATGTCAGCTTTCAGGGTCATGCTGCTAGCAGAACTTCTAACTCTCTCTGGAGGTGCAGCTACAGAGCATTTGAATAGGGTCTGTGAGCAGACTGCTGCAACTTGCTTAATGGCAACATAGACTATTTGTGTGACTAGACATGGGGTTATGAGCATGGCTATCAGAGACAGCAAACAACTTCATCATGATGTGGTGCGGGAGAATTGTCTGTATTCTGTCAATCATATTTTAAATAAATGCTGATTGGCCAAGCAGGAAGTATAGGCGGGTCAACCAGACAAAAATTAGAGGCAGGGAAAGGAGAAAAGTAGTATTCTGGGAAGAAGGAAACCCATTCCTCCAGTCCAGCCCAGACGACAGAAGAAGCAACATGTGACTTATGCTGCTGTGAAAGGTACTGAGCCATGTGGCTAACATAGATAAGAATTATGAGTTAATATAAGCTACAAGAGCTAATAAGAAGCCTGAGCTAATGGGCCAATCAGTTTATAATCTTATGGTGTCCTCTGGGTGATTTTCTTCGGGGCAAGCCGGCCCTCAATGTTACAATGCTGGACTGGGTGGGACAAGCAGGCAGTGCCATATTTCCCCTAGTAATGTGGCCACTTAAGTTCATAAGAAGGGCTTAGCATTTTAAGAAGTGCTTCTGGACAGTAAAGAATTACAGACACAGTGGACAGATTCAGACATAAAGGACCTCTAAATGTGTCACAGTGTTGTATAAATGTACATAGACTGTGGACAAAGAAGAAATAGGTATAAAAGGAAATAAATGGTTTATAAAAAAACAAAGTCTTTAAAGAGACAGAGTACAGATAGTCATAGGAGTAAAGATAATAAAATAAATATTAAACTTGTAGAAAAAGTAATAGTGAAAAAAGCCATGTAAAATGGAAAATTCACAGAGAGTCTGGTTTATGTTTATTATTGTGTTATCTTTAAATTTTTTGACTGCATAGAGACATTTAATTCTGGGGACTGCTAAGATAAGCCAGCATATGTATTTCAAAGGTATCTTGAATTAAAAATTTGACTCTAAGGATATGTTGCTTTAGAAAGGAAGTTCTTCTTTTATTTCCACAGAGAATGAGAACCCGTGGATTATACTCAGACTAATATGGCTTGTTGGACCAAAACTACCTGAAAGGTTACTTTGAACAACCCTCAAAAATTACTTTTCCCAATAAACAGCAAGAATCAGTTTGGAGAATAACTATGCCCATATTCCCAAATATTGTTTATAAGTGTTCTTTTACATTTAAGGGGAGATATGCTATAGAGATTTGTTTCGGTATGGATCTTGGTATATATATATATATATATATATATATATATATATATATATATATATATATATAT